AGTCATCATCTTTGGAGTACCTCGATTGTTTCTGAAAGTTTACCAAGTTCTTCTTGGAATGTTAGATGTCGTTCTTTCTCACGTAACGGTTGTACCGTTTAATGAACAGCCCCATATCTTCACTCTTGTCCTCTTCTTCTTTGTCGCTTGAGGAATAATCACTTTGCTCTTTTGCTTGAGACTTCAAGGAGGAAGTCTTGAGAGCTATCGATTTCTTTTCACTCACCTTCATTTTGTCTTTCTTTTCCATCTTTTCACGTTGGTCTAGGCTCAAGAGTACCTGTTCATGCTCTTGTAGTTTTCCAAACAATGTTGTCAAGTCTAATAAGGTAAGATCATGTGCTTCTTTGATGGCGGTCACTTTTGGCTGTCATTCCCTGTTAAGACATCTTAAGATCTTATTCGTAGCAACATCATTGGAAACAGGCCTACCTAATGAATGTAAACGATTGATGAGATGAGTAAATCTCTTTTGCATGTCAGCAATGGTTTCCCCTTGCTCCATGAAAAAGAGATCAAACTCTTGAGTTAATGTGTTGATTCTAGCCAACTTGGCATTGTTTGTCCCCTCATGGGCGATTTGTAGTGAATCCCACATGGCCTTAACAGTAGGACAATGGGATACACGATCGTATTCATCTACACCTAATAAGGAGATTAAGATATTTTTGGCTTTCCAATCATAATTGTATTTTTTTCTCATCGTCATCGGTCCATTGTGCTTCGGGCTTTGGCACAACTACGTTATCCGCATTAGTCATAGTAATTTCTATTGGACCATTGAGGATGACGTTCCATATTTTTCTGTCTATGGAGTTTATGTGCACCTACATACCGTCTTTTCAATAACTATAGTTTTCACCGTTGAAAACGGGAGCTCTATTGTACGCCCCTTTTGGTTCGTTAGCCATTTTCTATCAACGTTGTATTTGAAGCACCGAGTAACCGGAGCTCTAGATACCACTTGTTAGACTACGGCACTGATCTATAAGGGGGGAGGGGGGTTGAATAGATCCCAATTAAAATTTGAGTCGGCGCTACCAATTTAAAAATTTGTTTTGAAAATATGTTTTAAGTGTGGAAGCGGCCGAGGAAGATATAGTCTAAAACGAACGGTTATTGGAAAACCGGATATGCGTTAAGCCTTTGGATTAATGACAATATGGAAACGAGAATCACAACACTAATCACACTTATCAATGATCTAATTCACTAGTTAGGATTCCTAGTTCCAATGATTTAAAGAGCAAACCAAAACTAGATACACAAGTAAGATAATTTTGGTTTAGGCAATTTGTCAAACACTTGGTGTGCAAAGCACTACAAGTGATATTTCTGTTGAGTAAGTGATTCCAACTAGCCTAGTACAATGTCTTATTGTATTTTGGATTGAAAAACAGAGTTTTAACCTCTTACTCAATTGATATCACAGTTTGACAATGGTGCTTATACAAAAAGCACTTATTTTTAAGCTAAAACGGAAATGCTGAAAAATAGAGAAGACAAGTGTTTGGTGAGGCAGTTCCCCCGTCGTCCTCGCTTCGGGGTACGTCTGCCCTCAATTCTAAAACTAGAATTGAGATAGATTTAATAGATATCACATGTTGAATGTAACAGTTTATACAAGGATTGAACAGCAAATATACAACAGAAATCTCAAGACGTTGAATGTTGCTTTCACTCCTTGCCCCTTGATTCAAGATGAATCAAGTCCTCCGATTGTTGTTGATAGACCTCCGATTCCAGCCACCTTATTGAATAACCCGTTGTTGTTCAAACCTTCGGCTCCGGATGATCTCAACTGCAACGAATCGAACCCGAGATATTCCCTTCAATATCACTGAATCCGCTACTAGACTGTTGAAGAACACCTCTTCACAATCACCTTCGCTCAGTTGACCCTTGATGAAGAATCTCGTCCCAAAACCCCCAAAATTCAAACCAATCTTGGAGGATAAAACCCTTTACGGTTTTATTCAAGAAAGAACCTGTCATAAGCTTCAACCCGAACTTGATTACCCAGTCTAAGCTTCGAACCTTATCATCTTTGATCACTCACAATGAACTTCAAAAATGGTTGTGTGTAATTGATGTGTTGTGAGATGTTGAAGATGAAGATGATGAATCTTGGACACCTATTTCACTCTTTCTTATTCTTGAACACATGAATCAGTTTTTATCACAATGTTAAAATGACATAAGTGGTTGAACTTGTATATATAGTACCAGACCAACCAAAGACATAACAGCTTTTCAAATAGTAGAGGGAATCACTTAAAAACTGGATTTCCGCGCGAACGGTCGACCACAGCAGGTCTGTGCGTCGACGCATAGCCTGCGTTTTTTGGAAATCTGGAAAATGTATCAGTATGCGTCGACCATACAGTCGGCGTGCGCAGACCCGTTGAAAAATATTTCCTTCATGCGCCGATCCTATGGTCGACTCATGCCTTCATGCGCTGACCCGTTGAAAAATGCTCAGATGCATGCGCCGATCCTATGGTCGACTCATTCCCTGCAAACCTGCAAAAATTTATCTTTTTGTGGTTTTTCATGCCTCTGGTCATGACTGCATTTTATCTACACATAGTATATTTATTACAACAGTTTTAAGACACATATAAAAGGATATGGTATGTGATACGTTGCATTTGTTTTAGTAGATCCGAAGTTCATAATTTCCAATCCATCCAAGGTTGTAATTTGTCATCATCGAAACCTATATCGAGTAATGTCTTGCTGACTCGTGTGATGTGTGGCGATTTGCCTCCACAGATATAAATACAACATATATTGACATTCTTATTGCTATGAAAAAAAAGGGTTAGAACTTGCACTAAACACCATATTGAAAAGTATGTCTCTTATGGTAAATTGTCACAAAGTTACAGGTCTTTTGTAGCAACTATTGACAACATACAAATTCCAAATTATATTCAAGAAGCATTGCAGAAACGTGAATGGGCAGCAGTTGTAATAGAAGAAGTTCAAACACTAATAAAAAATGGCACAAGGGAGATCATCACTATACCAAAAGGAGAGAAAGGAGTAGGATGCAAGTGGATATTTTCAATTAAGTAAAATGTTGATGAAAGTATAAACAGGTACAAAGCTTAATTCCTTGCTAAGGTGTTCACACAATCTTATGGAGTAGATTATAAAAAGACTTTTGCACCTGTTGTGAAACTCAATTATGTTCGGATTCTACTATCTTTGGCAGTGAACCTAGATTGGCCCCTGCATAAATTAGATATAAATAATGCATTTTTTAATAGGGAGTTAGAAGAAGGGGTGTGTATGCAAATTCCTCTAGGACTTGAATCACCCACGACGTCCAACATGGTGTGTCGACTTCGCAAATATAATATGGACTCAAACAATCACCAAGGGCATGGTTTGACATACTATCAAATGCTGCCAAGCAAGATGGTTATGTTCAATGCCAAACAGACCATACTATGTTTGTCAAACACTCTGTGAATGGAAAGATAGCTTTATTTATCGTCTATGTTGATGATATCGTAATCATGGGAAATGATGATGAACAAATCAACCAGCTAAAGAAACTTCTAGCCAAAGCATTTGAAGTCAGGGACTTAGGTCAGCTCAAGTATTTTTTAGGGATGGAAATTGCGTGGACAAAGAATGGTATTTTAGTTTCTCAAAGGAAGTACACTCTGGATTTACTTCAAGAAACATGTATGCTTGGAAGCAAAGTTGTCAATACTCCCGTAGAACCAATAAGAAAGAGTGATGATGAGAATGTTAGTAAAGATAGATATCAAAGTCTAGCTTGAAAACTAGTTTATCTAATTCACACCAAGGCGAACATTGGTTTTACTGTAACCATGACTAGTCATTATATGTCAAACCCAACTAAAACTGACATGAGAAATGTGAACTGAATACTCAAGTACTTGAAAGGTACATCAGGTCGAGGACCCTATTTTCAAAAGATCTCAAACAAAGGTATTGCAGTTTAAACTAATTCAGATTTAGCAGGGTGTTTATCTAATAGAAAAACAACTACATGTTGTTATGCATTTGTATGGGGCAATATGGTAACTCGGAAAAGTAGGAAACAATTTGTTGTGGCTAAGAGTAATGTAGAAGCAGAATTCAGATCTCTTGCACAAGGTATTTGTGAAGGAATTTGGTTAAAGCAGATGCTAGATGAAATCAAAATTCCTGTCGGCCACACCATGAAGATACTATGTGATAACAAGGTTGTTATAAGTATTGCAAAGAACCCAATACAGCATGATAGAACACAGCATGTAGAGATACACATGCACTTCATCAAGGAGAAAATCGATCATAAAATTATAAGTGTTGATCATATTCCATCATGCCAGCAAACTACGGACATTCTAACAAAAGCACTTTCAAACAAAAGCACATTCTAACAAAAGCACTTTCAAAGAATGTATATGAGAATATTATATTCAATCTAGGTATAATAGACATCTATCACCCAAATTAAAGAGAGTGTAGAATAATCAATACAGAATCAAATAATTTTGTTTTGCACCGCTCATTAGAATTAGGTACTAATGTAATTAATTAGCTGTTATTTTCTGCATTTACTTCAATTAGAATCAACATTTATGGAGAGATTAATTCAAGAACATATTCCACTTTCAAATTTTGCCTCTTGTATTCTAGTCTATGTATTCCTCATCTAAACGCATAAATAAAGAGTATATGTCTACATAATATATAATGACAAACTTTAGTACTGAATCAGAATATAAAATACAAATAATTTAATGGCAAACCCCAAGTATATGATTGTGATTGTGATATAGCTATTAGGTAATTTACCTGCACTAATCTGTATGAAAATCTCAAAACCAGCAACCACCAATTCGGTCAAACAAAACTGATAAACTGGTCAAATAAATTATATAAGCTAGCTTATTGGCGTTTTCAGACAAACTTTATATCAATACCATAGACATTCTTTAAATATGCAATGGTTGTTGCAAAGAGTATATCTGTTAAACTGTCCGGGATTGACGTAATGGTATGTCAGGCTGGGAGACACTGGATGTTGCGGGTGTATTAGTAGATGAGGGCAGAGCTTTCACAGGAACCTCATTTGACAAGGCACCACGTAAGGGTAGAGCCTTCATAGGGATCTCATTTGACAAGGTACCGCGGGCTTTTCTCTTTAACTGTTCAAGAAGTCGCTGAGCTTCTTTAAGTTCTTCTTCTGCACTTGCACCATGGCTTTCCCAAGCGTCAACAACTTGCTGTTGGAACTCGATTGCAAGAGCATGACTGCAATTCCAATATTCAATATTTTAGAAAAACATGAATTTATCCCTTTGAGAAGAAGACATGAATCAGTTTGCAATTAAATTAACAGGTGAATATAGTAGCAGCACATTATCCAAACAAGGGACAGAAACAAGTTTGCATGTTCCATTCACACAGTATGATACATTTAATTCCTTAATTTCCTTTAAAAGAACCTCTGAACTGGGGACAATCAAGGCTTAAATATACCTTCCAATTTCTAAACATTTTTGTAATTCCAATTATTATTATATAGCATAGGATCTCGTGTATATTAACTTCACAAATAAAACTTAGGTAGGCTGCAAATAAAATAATATCTTCAATTGAGCTCAAAATGGACCAATCTCAACAATGAAATAAGTTTGCATGAAGTTCCAAAAATAAGCAAAGCAAAACATTGATGACTGACTACCTTAGCAGTGGTTCCGTATAAAATTATGGGCTCAGGTCATAACTCTTTATACTCAAGATTTACCCTCAAAAAATTCACCATTCAAATTCAACTCAGTCACATTTTATTTTATGTGTTGTGAATTGGATACCTTTAAACAAAATATAAACGGTTTCTTAATGATCAAGAAACACACAAGGGTTAGGATTAACAAAGAAGACAAGGTAAAATAACAAGGAACAACAAGGATTGGTTATTAAACTGCTATTCTTTCCTTTCTCTTAAAACAAGATTACAAGTATACAAGAATAACAAAATAACCCCTCTCCCTTGAAATTAGGATTTTATCTTCCTATTTTTCCTTATGCCAAGATTGAGAAACTAGCATCCTATTTATAATAAAATAGCACACTAACCTAATGGGCTTTTTAACAATTATCCATTACAAGCTAACTTAGAGTACAAGCTAACTTAAACAATTTGGCTTACAAGCAAGACCCAATTCAACATGCTAACAACCGTAGCAATATTTACTAATGCATGCTAAAACAGACTTCGACTACAACACGCAAACAAACTTCGACTATAATAGAGTTCGATCCAACATCTCACAAATCTCCACCTTGGATCTAACTCTATAACATCAAGAAACTAGCTTTCTTCATACAGATTTATTAACTGCATACAGTGGAAAAACTTGCAACTGGACAATGTCTTGGTGATCATATCAGCAGCATTATGATCTGTCGAAACTTTCAGCACTTGGACTTCTCCATGCTCGATTACCCCTCTGATGAAATGCAGCCTCACATCAATGTGCTTGGTTCGCTCATGATAGGCTGAATTATTCGACAGGTGTATTGCACTTTGACTATCACATTTAACAGTGATAGATTTTCTAGAATCAAGCTATGAAGGAAGCATTGTGGCTTGAAGGTTTTGCAAAGCACTTTGACTATCCCAAACATAGTGAACACATATCCGGAGATAGATTTTCTAGAATCCATACAACCTGCATAATCAGAGTCGACATATCCTTCGATTACTGCTTTACTATCTTCACCCAAGGCTCCACCATAAATTAGGACTCTATTCAGAGACCCATTTATGTACCTTAAAATCCACTTCAATGCTTGTCAGTGAGCCTTTCCAGGATTCGCCATGTACCTGCTTACAAGACTTACTGCATATGCTATGTCGGGTCTAGTACAGACCATAGCATACATCAAAGACCAATTTGTCTTCTTTTGATTCCTCATAACTTCCTTATAGTCTCTAGGTTCTTCGTCTAGAACCTCACTTGCAGAGATTAAGGCATAAGCTATAAAATCTGCATACCCAAGTCTCTGAGGTGGCTTGATGACTCTCCTCGACCTGTCTCTTGCTAGCAGGTAGTCATTATCAGTCTCTTCATCTTCGACAACATCTTCTGTGTCTTCTTCGACTTCATCTGAGGTAAGCAATTCAGCATCAACATGCTCCACCTCAACAGGAATCTCTCCATGTTCCAGCTCTTCGTCAGCATCATCAGTTTTCTTGAAAGCCATCTCTGCTTTGTTGAAAACTACATCTCGACTGGTGATACACCTCCTGTGACCTGGCTCTAGGCACCATAGCCTATAAGCTTTGACTCCTTCAGGGTATCCCATGAACATGCATTTCAGAGCTCTAGGTTCGACCTTGTCTTGCCTAATATGAGCATAGGCCACACAGCCAAATACTCTCAGTCTGTCGAGACTAGGTGGATGTCCCGACCAAACTTCTTCAGGTGTCTTCATTCCCAAGGCAGTCGAGGGACATCTATTTATCAGGTAAGCTGTTGTCGAAACAGCTTCCGCCCAAAACACCTTCTTTAATCCAGCACTAACCAACATGCATCTAACCCTTTCAAGGATTGTTCGATTGAATCTCTCAGCTAAGCCATTTTGTTGAGGAGTACCTGCTACAGTCTTATGCCTTGCAATCCCAGACCCAACACAGTAATTGTCGAAAGCTTTGTTGCAGAATTCAAGGCCATTGTCGGTTCTCAACCTCTTAACCTTTCTGCCAGTCTGAGTTTCGACTAGAATCTTCCAACTTTTGAAATTCTCAAAAGTTTCATCCTTCGTCTTCTGAATGAATACCCATAGTTTTCTGGAATAGTCATCAACGATGGATAGAAAATACCTTGCACCTGAGTGTGAAGGATTCCTTGCAGGCCCCCAAAGATCAGCATGAATGTAATCCAGGGATCCATGTGTTCTTTGCTTGCCTTTGTTAAACTTCGCCCTACAGGATTTACCAAATACACAAGATTCACAAAATTCCAACTTTTCGACTTTGTCACCTCCTAGCAGGTTCTGCTTCCCCAATTCGACCAGGCCTCTTTCGCTGACATGGCCCAATCTCATGTGCCATAATTCTGTCTTCGACATAGATTTCGTGGATGCAACATTTGTCGAACCACTTACAACCTCAGCCTCAAGGGTATACAAGCCTTGTTTCTTCACGCCTCTCAAAACTTCCTTCGACCCCTTCATGACTCTTAGGATACTTTTCTCTCCTTGAAAAACATATCCTTTTCTGTCGAATTCACCAAGAGAAATCAAATTTCTCTTCAAGTCAGGTATGTACCTGACTTCAGTCAATAACCTTATTGACTCATCATGGAGCTTGAATCTCACATATCCAATACCTGCAATTTTGCAAGATTTGTTGTTTCCTAACAGCACAGATCCACCATCTTGATCACATAGCTCCTCGAACAATTCTCTGTTTAGAGTCATGTGCCAAGTGCAACCTGAATCCATAATCCACTCTTTCCTCGAGTCGCCACTTGAAACCACAAGAACATCAGATGAGTCGAAGTCATCTTGAACAATGGCTGCATTGCCATTACCTCCATGATCTTTCAGGCGTTCAGGGCACAGCTTTCTTATGTGACCCTCCTTCTTACAGTGGTAACATCGAATACTAGATGTTTCGCCACTATAAGACTTCTGTTGACTTTTACCTTTTTTCTTGTCGAACTTACCATCCTTTCGCAAGAATTTTCCCTTAACGGCCAAACCTTCGCCCACCGTCGAAGGTTTATGCTCCTTTCGTTCGTTCAAGTCCTTAGAATACAAGGCTGATTGAACTTCTTCAAAGGTCAGGGACTCCCTTCCATACAAGAGAGTTTCTTTGAAGTGAGCATGTGTTCTGGGCAAAGCACACAGCAGCAATAGTGCTTGATCTTCATCATCGATCTTCACATCAATATTTTCAAGATCAAGAATCAGCTTGTTGAACATATTCAACTGCTCAGCCAACACTTTGTCTTCACTCATCTTGAATGAATAGAAAGCTTGCTTCAGGTATAGTCGATTCACCAGAGATTTGGTCATGTACAAACTTTCAAGTTTCACCCATAATCCCGATGCTGTAGTCTCCTTTGATACCTGTCGAAGAACCTTATCACCAAGGCTCAACAATATTGCGCTGTGGGCTTTCTCGATCATGCTCGTCTTTTCTTTTGTCGTTAACGCAGCGTTCATGGCTGTCTCACCCTTCAACGCTTCCAAACAACCCTGCTGAACCAATAGGGCTTTCATCTTCAAGCGCCACAGACCGAAGTCGTTCACTCCGGTGAACTTTTCAATCTCATACTTTGTTGAAGGCATCTTCTCCACGCTCACCGCACCAATTTGTTGTGAATTGGATACCTTTAAACAAAGTATAAACGGTTTCTTAATGATCAAGAAACACACAAGGGTTAGGGTTAACAAAGAAGACAAGGTAAAATAACAAGGAACAACAAGGATTGGTTATTAAACTGCTATTCTTTCTTTTCTTTTAGAACAAGATTACAAGTATACAAGAATAACAAAATAACCCCTCTCCCTTGAAATTAGGATTTTATCTTCCTATTTTTCCTTATGCCAAGATTGAGAAACTAGCATCCTATTTATAATAAAATAGCACACTAACCTAATGGGCTTTTTAACAATTATCCATTACAAGCTAACTTAGGGTACAAGCTAACTTAAACAATTTGGCTTACAAGCAAGACCCAATTCAACATGCTAACAACCGTAGCAATATTTACTAATGCATGCTAAAACAGACTTCGACTACAACACGCATTACTTGCGAACAAACTTCGACTATAATAGAGTTCGATCCAACATCTCACATTATGTAATATGTGAAGACTAGAATTCTGCATTGCACAACAGTGCAACCACAGAACCACCAAATCAGAACTGTCTTGGTGATATAGAAGAGAAGATAGTGGTTTAACAATCAACTCATTCAGAGAAGGTAATAAAACTTAGTTTGGTAAATGATAAGAATTAAATGAGAGGTAGAATCGGAAAATAAAAGAGTTATGAGCCTAGCATGAATAAGGGCCTGTTTGGAATGGCTTATTTGATTGAGGCTATCTACTAGCATAAGCACTAGAAAGACAGTTTGGGAGAGCTTATGGAAACAGTTTACTACATGTCAATAAGATGTTTTCAGCTTATTTCCATAAGCTCTCTAGGATAGCTTATAACTTATATAAAAATAGATCAACTTTATTTTATCTTTTGTTATAGAAATAGCTTACATGTAAGCACTTATATGATAAGCAGTTATGTTATAAGCATTAAATCAAATTGTTTATCCAAACATGGCTTAATTTTTCTTTTGAAAGCAGACAATCAACATAATGAGGATACAAAAGCAGACATATTAATTATAAATTGCACCATTTTTTATGTCAGAAATTTGTTAAAGTATCATGCATGATAATTCCACCATCTAGAAGCTTCACAATAATTGTTCCAATGGAATCTGGATTGCACAGTAATAGGTATATGTCCCTCAAGTTAAATGCTTAAACTGCTAAAGCTAGAGAAACAAAGTACTTCCTGTATAATTTATGACAGGTGTAACCAAAACCAATATTTTTCAGAAACAGAATAAGAGAAACAGTATCAAGATATGAATGAAGTCAAATCAATAAAACAATCCATACCTTCCCATCTCACCATATGCCTTTGAAAGGTTTTGACATGCCTCAATTGTATCAGCATGATGGGGACCAAGAGAAACATCCATGATATCCTTTGCGACTGCAAACATCTGCGCTGCCGATTGTGGTCTATCCAACTCTAAATATGCTGCCCCTAAATTGTTGTAGATGTAACCCACTCCAAAATGTTTGGGACCAAAGCTGTCTTTCAGCCTTTCAGCAGCACTTTCCAAATAAGGAATAGCCTGCTTCACCTTACCTGTCAGCAATAATAACCACCCGATTCTTGCAGATACACTTCCCTCTGAGTGCTGCTCTTGCGGGAGCTTCTCAAACAAAGCTAGGGCCCTCTTCAGCAATGAAATTGCAGTTTCGAACTCGTTCATTGTTTCATACAGCATGGATATCTCTGAGTACGCCTCAGCAACTTCCACTGGCGTAATCTGTTCTCTTTTGTCAAGAACCCCAAGAGAAATCTCTAAACACCTTTTGCAATCTGCAAACTTTTCCTGATTACATAAAGCTTTTGCCATTGATACAAGCACAAGAGCTCGACTCTCACTATCCTTCTCAGTCTGATTTACAACATTCCTCAAAGTACCAACAGCCTCATCGTATCTTCCCAAAGCAATCATCATATTAGCAGCATCAACTTCAGCGCGCAACAAATCAGAATTAAGATTCCAATTCTTCAAAATCCTCTGCGCCAAAACATTCTGCTCCAACGCCTTCTCATGTTCCTCCAACCCACTATACACAATCCCGAGAAGTTTCCTATCATGTGCAACCTCCACAGAATTCATCCCCAATCGTTTCATATGAATCTCCAACGCCTTTAAACAATACGGAAGTGCCTCCTTAAAGTTCAAAACCGCAACATAAGCTTCAGCTAAGTCGCGGTTTCCTTTACCCAATTCTCCACTATCTTCCTCAAAAGTCATCTCTTTAATCTCCAAACACTTCCTAAGATTCTCCAACGCCTCTTCCCTCCTCCCCATAGCAGTCTTAACATTAGCCAACTCGAGTTGAACAGCATGAAGCACAGGCCTAACATCATCAACACAAACACCCTCATCCTCCAACCTACCCAAAACCCTATTAGCCCTATTAAGGTACCCTAAACTATCACTAAACCTATTCAAACTATAATTAACAGACCCCATTAACTGCAAAGTCATGGCAAAAGGAAAAGAAGGTTTATTATCATTATCAAATGCTTTCAAAGCTCTGTTAGCAAAGGAAAGAGCTTTTTCAGGATCCTCGCCTTCTCGATCAAGTTTAAGACCAATTTTCAAAGAAGCTAAACCAAGCTCTTTCTCGTTGAATACAACTTCCATGTCACTGAAAGCTTTGAGCATTTCTTCAGTAGTTTCTGCAGACTCGAAAGCTTCTTCAAATTGTGATTTTTCAGCGATTTTTCGTTGTCTTGAGGAGATTTGAGAGGGTTTGTGAACGAGGGTGTCCATGGTTCGAAATGGGGTGGAGATGAATTTGTTGGGTTTGATGAATGGGTTGAAGGGTGCATCACGGAGAGTAGAGTAAGAAGTTGAACGTCGACGAGCGAGGTGAGAGAAGAACGCGATCGAATTCCAGAGTTTTCTCATGATTCTGTCGCCTTCAATTTTGGTTGGATTTCGGTTAAACCTTCGTAAAACCCTCTTCCATGGAGGTAAACACTGTAGCAAACAATATAAACCTGTCGTTTTCACTTTTTTTACATAAAAACGGTGTATACTAAATTGTTAAAATTAATCATCATTTTCTATGAACAAAATATGTTATCATTGTTCAAAGTTTTATAAAAGAAAAGAAAATCATATAGTTGACCCTAATGAGGGAAAGTTAATAGGTGAATTGGTCGTGTTTAATGGATTCAGTTTAGGTGGAATTTTTAGTGGAGAAAATCTTTTTTTGAATGGGAGATCGAGTTAATGAATAATTTTTTCTTGTTTGGTAGGGGTCACACTTTCACTTGGTAGTGATAATTGGTGGTGATAGTTCCGAAAGAATGGGGATGATTTGGTTGCTTTAGCATATAGCTCCTTCGTGGGGATAAGTTTGACCTTACTTTTCCTCTTAATAGGAGGAATTACGTTTTATCTTTTATTTGAGTGATTTTGACTCCTTTTAAGATGGTTGATTTTTATTGTCAGCTTCTCCTAGACAAGTTTTCTTTTAGAGTTAATGTCACTAAGCGTGGAACTCTTTTAGATTATGCAGGGGTGACTTGTAATCTTTGTGGGAATGTCTCTGAGTCAGGATCTCATTTATTTGTCACTTATAATATAGTTTTGACTTTGTGGTATTGGATTTTTAGATTATTGGGTTGGTCTTTTGTTATTAATGAGGACATTTGTTCATTCTCCAAGGGACCTATGACTCCCAATGAATCTCCAGTTTGAGACAGAATAGTTTCACCTAGTCGAAGGCCTTCTAAAAGGTAATGTGGACGACATTGATGCCATCATTGACAAAGGCATCATGCCCCTTCTTCACCTCGGCTAAGCTACCTTTATGAGCTTTCACCGCCTTGGAGCAGTATTACCGCTCTTTTTGAAGCATTTCCTCAACCACCTTGACCTTGGAAACTAATGCTTCTTGGGCCTTCTTAGAGTTGGTCAAATAAATGTAGACTTCTTCAAGGGATTTCTCCTTCTCTACCAAGGATTCCTTCTAGGAGAAGATTGTTGGGCAAGCTCATAAGGGACATCGTGCGTCTCCATATTCTTTTCAAGACCAACAAGTTTTTCTTGGAGCTAGTTGCGTTCTTGAAGGGCAAGGTCCTATTGGCCTTTTAAAAGCTCTATTTCCTTAGTCGGATTACCAGGGCAGCAGCTCCAAGGACAACAATGAAACACCTAAATGCATGTTTAAGGTCATCTTAGATATTAGCTCCAACTTATTCATATCAGAGAGGTTTTGAAGATGGTGCAGTCCTTTTCGAGAATGCAAGATTGTGCCTCCTTGGTAATATAGGGCCCTCATGATATAAAGACATCTGGAAGTTTGAAGTAGGAAGGAGCATGTGAGTCATTTCCCAGTGTTACCCTTTTAGAGACATGCCTTGATGGCTTATACTTTTTGGAAGGATTACCCTTCACAGCTTAATTTTTGTCATGGTCCCTCTTGGCGGTTTCACCAGTGGCATATAAGGACCAATCGTGAAACTTCCTGCTCCAAATTTCAGATGACTGGCGCCCTTGGTCCACCATATTCTCCTGGCCGACCTGAGTCGTTTTTTTTTCGACATGCAAATTTTCATTCTCTCTTGGGGTCGTATGCATTCTCGCTTCAATCGGGGCCATAGTAGGATTCAAGTAAGCAGATAAAGGATCATCCTTCGCCAGGTGGGCCTCCTTCCTCTTGAAGATATTCCTAATCACACTCATGTTATCTACAAAATAAAATAACGAAGATAGTTAGTATAAATATTTTATGAAAAATAAAGACAAACATAAAGATAGTTCCCTCTCTCGCCTAAAAGATATTTTCCTTCAAGAGTAGTGACCGCTTCCACAATCAAATATGTGTTAATATATATTGCTTTTTTGTTGTTAGGGTGGTACATATGAAGGGTTATCTCCCTCTTCATATCATAAATTCTCTCATTAGGAGACTAAGTCATCTTTCAATGACTCTTCCTCCAGGGTGAAAAAGTCAGAGGTGAAGGTATATTTTGTCAGAGCAGGAAATAAATGGTTCTTGACCTAGCAGTTTTGAATCTTATCTTTACATTTCATCGATTTTGAACAAGGGGGCATAGAGGGAAGGATCTCCTTCTAGAAGGATGAATAACAAAGATTGAGCCTCTTGATTATGGGTGGTAGCCAAAAAGTAATGGTCCTTAAAGTTTTTCCTGCTCTTGAGGGAAACATCAAACATCTTTAACAACTGGAAAAGTGAGAGTAGCATTTGTCCCTGATCTCCATAGGCCGAAGTGAGTGTCACATTGATGATATGGAATAATAACCTCAAGCTTCCACCTTCCTCTGATGCTTACACCAATGCTAGAACAATTTGTTAAAGGCCTAATACCAGGCGTAGTTGAGATAGGGAAATTCTCAAGTGATCCAACATCCCCTCCTCGAAATTGTTGAATGAAAACTTGAATCTCAACTTAGAGATCAAACATTCATAGAAAGGTATGGAAGATCCATCAAAGGATCTACATATCCTTTTGTCGGGGTCGACATGGGAAACAGGACAATCAGAGGATGGCCCTAGATCTTTATAAGCATCTTTCAGGTTCTGAGTCTTGTTGAAGATAGAAATTGTTCTTATTAATTCCTCCTCCACCCAATGGTATTGAGCAACGTCAATAGGAATGAAAAGACCTTGATGATCCTTTTAAACCACGTCTTCTCAACTGTCATGAAAATATGATGTTTGTCATGAATCAGGGAATGGCTCTGAAAGTTGAGGTAATCTTTAACGTCTTTAGTGTTAGGTTCCCGACCATTTACAATATAAATGAATTAATAAAGAAATGAAGTACTAGTTCATCCCGGTGAGCCTCAATAAGCTCTGGATTCGTCATATGTTTGGCAAGAGAATGGAGACCAAGATCAATATCCCTAGTAATGAGACCAACAAACTCAATTTTATTACCACCAGGATGAGAACTCGAGGGTTCGCTGCATCTTCAATAAAACCCCCATCAGAATCAGAACTATCACTGAGAACAATGAGGTTCGTAATGGGTCGATTAACTCCTAAAAATGCGACGGTTGGCATTTTGGGTCTACTATTTCAGCGCGAAACAAAGTGCCACTCACATCATTACCACTAGAACATTCTATAAACAAGGAGAGAAATTGCATCTTAACGAGTTGAAGGTTGAAGAAAGGATTAAGACAAAGGATTTATAGGTGAGATGAATCGTGAAAATGCAAGAACCAGAGAAATAAAAAAGACAAATGGAACAGAAATCGCCGAGACTCATGGAAAAGCAATTGAAGTTAGTAGAAAAAGAAAAATATTACAATTTTCGCAAAGAGTGGAAACGTGGTTAGGAAGGTGAAGTGACCTTTATATGTTAAGGCTAGGCAGGTAAATCCATGGTCCCAAATAAAAGAAAACGGGATGATGAAGAACAATGTTTAGATTTTCCCTGATATTTTAATGGCACTCGATTACATCTGAGCATCATAGAGGGAAGTGTCAAGCCCTAGTCTTTGGAACTAGAGCCACGTGTAAGAACAATCATGTGAAACATTTCAATTACGAGACTAACATTTTATGTGTTTGTTTTCAATATCACCCGTTCCAGCTCAAAAATCTTTCCCACTTCTCCAAGCAATGAACCCGGCACGCTAAGCCCGACCCATTTTTCTAAAAGACTTTCCATTATTTTGCTACGATAAGTCTTGGGGGCAACTATTTCAGACCAGCCACAAGCCCAAATGGGGGAAGGTTAATCATCAATCCAAAGTCTATCCACCAAAGTATTAAAGGTACAACGTAACCTTACTTTAGAGCTCTACGCTAGATCCACGCCATGGGTTACCGCCTAGTATTAGATGTTATTAGATGGCTTCCCGCATTCCACATAGAAATGGCAGGGAACATCCATAATCACCTATCATATATAAAACATCGCACATGAAACCTGAGGTATTATCTCTAATTCATAACTCACATTACTTATTATGTTTTTACTGATTTGAGTATTAGAGTGTTAACATTGCGTGTCTATTCAGTGTCGTTGTACCTGAGATCCATTCTACCACATTTAGAATCTATTTCATTATTTCACCAAATATTTATAATTCCAAAGCAAAACACTATTCAAACTATTTAGACTTGGTTTTGGCAATTCTCACCAAATTAGCTAGGTATTAAGATTACATTTTGCAAAGCTCTAAATAGTAGCTTTGAAAAATTCACGGTTCAAGCACCTATACTACCCAAAATAATAATTTGAACTCGTCCAAACCAACCATATACTACCCATATTAAACAATTGAATTAACCTAGCACTTGTACTCAAACTGACCCGACTCATTTGTACAAAAAAAACAATAGGCTGGTTAGTTTTGAACATGCTGTTAAAATTGGTCCCTAGATATTCAAATTTAATATTTAACTCTTATTTTATACTTTGGTTATTGTCCATTATTGAAGTATAAGAGTGAGAGACTTTTGAATAAACTATGTGTCTAAAAAGCATTACGAAGATTATTATATATATATATATATATATATATATATATATATATATATATATATATATATATATATATATATATATATATATATATATATAGAGAGAGAGAGAGAGAGAGAGAGAGAGAGAGAGAGTGAGAGTGTGTTGCGTGTGTGTGCGTGTGTGTGTGTGTGTGAGAGAGAGAGTGTGTGTGTGTGTGAGAGAGTGAGTCAGTGTGTGAGTGTGTGTGTGTGTGTGTGTGTGTGTGTGTGTTTGTGTGTGTGTGTGTGTGTGTGTGTGTGTGTGTGAGAAAGAGAGAGAGAGAGAGAGAGAGAGAGAGAGAGAGAGAGAGAGAGAGAGAGAGACTTACAGCTACTTACATGCTATAGTCGATGTGGTACTTTTTATATATAAATATTCTTAGCACTCTTCCTCAAGCTGGATAATCATATGAGTCAA